ATTTGGATTTCCTGTTATACACAGCCAGACTTAATTCCTAATGGATATTATCTTCCCAACCCAAATTTCTGTACAATCTAAATTTTAAATTCAACCTAGACTTTATAATTAGAAAGCTTAATGAAGTTAAAAGGGGTGAAAAGTTGGGAGTAATTATGGTGACCTAAGAGGTCACCATAATTAGGGCCGGGATAAGAATCTGGAACCTGGAACTGGCACCTCATATATGGGTTGTTAACAGTCAAATTACAAGTCTTCACTAGATGTTGTTAGCCTAGTTTCAATTATTTTTATTTTAAAATTTTCTATAGTTTAAACTTATCACCAATTAAATCCACTTTCTACTTCCATTCCTGCTTATTCCTGTCTAAATAATGAGGTTTTGCTATCAGAGCTGTTTTAAAAGTGTTAAAAATTTTATTTAAAATGGCATTAAAAGGTAGTTAAAGGAAAAAAAAATTAACCTGTGTCTGTATTTCCAAGTATATCAAAGATAGCTGAGCTAAAGTTCAAATGTCACATTGTTTTATATTTAAAAATGCTCTTTTAGTTAATATCAATGCATGATGTTAGAAACAAGAGAAAGAGGTTAATGCCAGGTTGAGTTACCTGTATACAGATAGCTTCCCTATCACACATGGTGGCCCCCTTTGCCCAAGTGGAAAGATGCTAGTGTGTCAGGAAGAGCTGTTGATAGACTGAGGAGTCTTGACATTTAAATTAAATCAAGGAATTAATAATAGCAAACTGCTTCCTGACTATTGACCATGTGAACAGTGTATCGGTCAAAGACGCAGAGAATCAAGAAAGAACGAGGTTAAAAGTAAGACGTGGGATCACCAGTGCCTTAACCAAGAGAAAATACCTTTAGATTTTTCTTGCTGGAAAGATTACTAAGGATATGAATTTTGGTTGGCTTCTGGAAAGTTCAACAAATTAGGGGAAAATGAAGACTGAGATGGACTACACAGTCCAAAATAGATCAATATGCCCACTAATCGACTAGCAAGGTAAACTTACACTGGATACTTTTCTTGGTTTAAGAGGAATTGATCAGTCTTATAAAAAGTTTATAGAAAAGAAAACAAATTATTAGAGGAAAGTAGAAATATGAATTATTTGCATATCCTTTTGGCACAAAATGAAAACAGATAGTATAAAGTAACAGAATGGAGTCCTGGATTTTTTCCCCTCTCATCTCATTTCTGACTTTGTTATATTACAGTTGAGTTGCGTTACTGGCTCCTGACCACCGTGGGAAACTTCTTCCCAGTCTGTTGAGCTTAGAGTATGGTAGCAATTGGGTCACTAAAAAACTTTAGAGATTTTTAGCACAATGAACTATGATGCATATTAGTGTATTTGATCATACACCCATAAAAAAGTTGATAGTGTCTTAAGATCAAGGATAGGCCATAAGTATTAAGAAGTGTCTGTCTCCAGGCCAGCCGAGTGGCTCAGTTAGTTAAGAGCTCGCTCAAGAGCTTGAGCTCTGAGCAACAGTGATTCAATTCGATTCCTGGACCGAGCTGAGCAGCCGCTGAGCTGCCAACAGGTGGCAGGATGGCTCAGCTTAAAAAAAAAAGAAAAAAAAAAAAGAAGTACCTGTCTCCTAATACCAGAAGTAGACAAGTTACTTTAATGGTGAATTATAGGTACAAAATAATGAATCTTGTGAACATCTGAAAAGATCTGAGTCTTTAAAGTACATTTCTTGGGTCCTTAAAGTATAATATATCACCTATGTCTCGTAAGTATATAAAATATAGGTACCCATTTGTTATAACTACTGTAAAGTCACAGAAAAAAAGGCAGCTTAGAGCCATACTCAGAATATGAAATCTCTCCTATAAGATTACACTGTCTTTTATTATTTCATTTGTGCTCTTTTGTCTTCATTTTATAAATATATGCCTACACACAACTTTTAAAAAGGCGAAAGATTTATACAATCTGAAAAGAAACCAGAGTACACACACACAACTGTTAAACAAGAAGCCATTTGATTAGACCAGTTTTGATCTGATATAAGCAACAATCCAAAAGGTATAAAACATTTTTGTTTACTACAAACGTGTGGTCTCTAAACTCCCAATTGTGCACTCAAAACTAGCTTAAAAATTCCTCAAGAGGATTTTTAACTAGCCTCTTAGCTGAAAAACATGAATAAAATGCTTTAGAGTAAATTTAGCCATTAGTTAGCTTAGAACTCAGGCAACAGCAACATTACCATACTATAAAAAAGTTATACCCGACTAAAAAAGTTAAATGTCATTCTTTTGTAAAGTTCCTCTTACATTCTAACATTTATCAACTGGCATTGTGTTGAAATCGTGGTAGTGGAAAGAAAACTGCAAAAACATTTAAAAATGTTTACTTACATAGATAAAAAATATACCTTGTTATTTTTAGGATGTGATTACTTTATTACCACTTTTTAAAACTGGTTTCTAAAATCCTGTATAGTGATATGAAAACTAAAATTTTGTGGAATTCAGGGTCCTCATTTCCCTCTTTTTTCCCCCCTAAAATTTCTAAGATTTAAATATAATCTGATGATACTAACATGGTTACACTGCACTAGCTTATCAGTATAGTAAATATGAAAATGTATTACATTTGCAAGAACTGAGAACTGACCAGATTAATCAAGAAAATCTAATTCTAAAATAATTTTTCTCACAAAGGTTTAATTGGCATTAAAAATGTAAAACATTGAGTGTACATAGAATATAAAATAAAATAGTTCTAATTCAAATTGAGAATTGTTTTGTCTACTAAAGATAATTTATTTCAACAATGCAGGACCTATGTCATGCTTATTATATATTGAGATAGATGTTATCAGAGAAGAAATATTTATTAAGATGGACCCTGAGGAATATTTGTATATTCTCTATATAGTGATTGAGAACCAGTTAAAAGGCATACAAAAAAAAGGCTAGAAAAGCAATTATGAAAGTTAACTTCTGTAGAAAAATTCTATCACATCATTAATACCATTAATTTAGCAGGAAGCCCTGGTTAGGAGAAGTAGGCTGACTGAATAGCAAGAACAGTCAATTAGGATTCAGGAAAACAGGTTCCTAATATTAGCCCTGTCAATTGAAATAACTATTGACAGTAAGTAGATCAATGGAATTATGATCACATATACTAGAACCAGACTGCCAGGCTTCAAAGCCCAGGACTGGCAATTATTGCTGTGCAACTTCAAAGTGCATTTCTTAGGTCTCAAAGGTTAGTCCATCACCTTTAAAAAGGATAAAAGCAGCTATCCCAGAGCTATTTTGAGCTGAACAAGATATGAACAAGATAATCTGGGTAAGGAGCTTACTTATTACTTAGTACAGTGCCTGGCACAAAAGTGCTCATAGTAAATGCCTAGCATTTAGCAACAGCTTGCCATCATTAGAGCAACCTCGAACAGCCCAACTATCTGGCTTTCAGTTGCCTTTAATGTAAAATACAGGTTTGAGCTGGAACATTTCTAATGCTTTTGCCCATCTAAAATTAAAACTTACAATGTAAAAGTATAGGGCCAACTCTAATTCCAAAGAACGTAAATTTATAATCTTTCACTCTAGCATAATTAAGGACATGGTAATTTAAATGCTACAGAAGAATCGTACTTTTAAGTCATCCCCTTAAAAGCAGTTTTAATTACTACACTTACTAAAGCCAAAGTTACGTGTATTCTGTGAAATCCATGGGAAATCCATGATCTTCCATCAATTATCATGGTCAGCAACTATTAATACAATTCTTACAAGAGTGTAACAGCAAAACTGGGGTAACCAATATGATCTTAAAAAAAAGATGAATGCCATATAATTAACTCTAGATGCTTTTAGTAGTCTACTTATGGTTATAATTTTGACTTTTACTATACAATATCTAAAATAATTTTGGAAAAACAAGTCCTAATAGGACTCTCAAGGTAGATAATCCTAATTTTCTCTTTCTTTCTCTCTCTCTCTCTCTCTCTCTCTCTCTCTCTCTCTCTCTTTCTCTCTCTCTCTCTCTTTTTACCATTGGAACATTTCATATCTCCTAATAAATAGAAAAGTAAAGATAATGAATTTTTCCAAATATACAAACCAGCAAAAAGAATAAAATACTGCTTTAAACTACCCAGAGTCTAAAGGTCTAACAAAATCTCTCTACTGATGTTACAATTCAAAATTCAAATGACACACAAACTTTTTATTGCCAGAATATTAAGATTCTTTTTATTGTGACTCAAATATTTTTAAAAATAGTTTTATCATGACCATGTCAAGATTAAAGAAACATATCCCACATGTTTCTTGGGGGCAAACTATTGATATCTAAAGACACATTAACTGCACTAATCCAAACACTCTGAATAACAGATTTTTTTTTTCAGTATTTGGAGGACTCTTACATGCTCTTACAGATACTATTAAGACATTTTAAAGCCTTTTTAAAAGTTTTAAAAATTAAGTGTGTGTGACCATTGAAAAGAGATTATATAAAAATTTTAACATTTTTTTTAGATAATAAGATAACATTAGGGAAGAGTTCTAGTTCACCTCTGTCAGGTACTAGACTAGCATGATAGGCCAAAGGAATAAAATTAATACATTTGCCTTCAATATAAATGTTTGGTTATATTAGTTCTTAATATTAAAACAAAACACACCAAACCTCCCCCTACAATACCCCCCCTCACACACAATGTTAAAATCTGACAACTTAATAAGCTCTCAAACCAGAAAACATGTTTACCAGTCCATACTCATACCTCACTTTTACAGCAGAAATGGGGTTAGTACTAGGAGTTAAAAAAAAAAAGATTTAAATTCATGGCTGTGCTCACTTCAGCATCGTTTCCATAAACTTATCTTTAACAGATCTCCAATACTTCATACTTGGCACAATTTCGAATCATTCAAGAAATTTTAGTTTTACCTTATAACTTATAAAGTAGCTTTGTAAAGTTCATGCCATAAAATGAATATATATTCTGTCCTTACCCTCAATATTTAGCTCAAAACAAACGTGGCAGAAGGAGAGCGTTTCTTTTTCTGTTCCCAGTTTACAAACACTGCAGATGTTGTCATCATTCAAATCAATGTTTACAAACTGCTCCTCTTCGTTCATAGTGCCCCTATTAAGAAACAGAAAAGGAAAGTTACACAATTTCAAGAACTTGTCCTTACGGCAATATTAGGAACTTCTAGGAAAAGAGAAGAACGGTGTTCAGTTCATCTAATACAACAAACAGCCCCATCAAACATGCATCGCCATACTTATACTTCAGTGTCATACTTTTATTGTGCAAAGACACAAACCTAGTAAAACTTAAAGCCCTGTCCTAGGTGACACTATACCAAAGTGCCTTTTCCGGTCCCCTAGCTCATTTGGTGGAGGAGATCTGAAGGAAGCAGTTTGCGGGCATTCCGGTCCACCCTCCTCCCCCATCCCTCGACCACGCACCGAAAGAGCTTAGCAGCGAGGCCTTTTCAGCTGCCGGGGTCTGTCAACCTACATAAACGCTGTTAAACGCAGGAAAAACGACCTGTTCGGGACACTGCTTTGCTAACTTCATTGTGGGAACCTTAGATGCGTTTCGCTAACTCGGCGTAGCGAGGCTTCCTGTCGGACATCCGCTGCAGGAAAATGCACGTGGAAACGCGAACACCCGGGGAAGGGCGTCCCTCCCGCGTCCAAAGCACCCGCAGCGTCTCCAAAGCCGGGGAGCGGCTCCACCGTGCGGGTCGGGCACCGCCGGAGGCGAGGTGGCCAAGCCGGGCAGGGAGGAGCCGTGGCTTCCAGTCGCCCAGGCTTTCCTTCCACCCACGGAGGAGAGGTCCGAGGGCCACGGCAGCCGGTCCCGCGGACTCAGCGCTTCGGAAAGCCGGGCCCCCCGTCCCGTCTCCGGCGTTGGGGGTGCGAGACGTCCCTGAGGGTGCCAGGTCCGTCTCTCCGTCCGTCCGTCGGGGGCGCCCGAAGCGGAGCAGCACGAGGGGC